TTGCCAGGAATTGAGAGGGCCGGATGCGATGATTTTGGATTTCTTAATGTTGAGTTTCAAGCCAACTTTTGCACTCTCCTTCTTCACCCGCATCAAGAGGCTCTTTAGTTCCTCTTCACTTTCTGCCATTAGAGTGGTATCATCTGCATATCTTAGGTTGTTTATATTTCTCCCGGCAATTTGGCAGGTTGATCACCCATATTAAAAGGGGTTTGTTTTGTTTTAAAGTCTCCAGCCTATTTTAACAACAGGGGTTTTGGTCCTTGTGCCTTTAACAAGGACGGCTATAGGCTGGGATAGAACACTGCCAAGGTTGGACACACCTATGCTAAAGACACCATATTTTTTTTCAAGATGGAATTAGATGCACATTCAGATTCGGCTACAACGGTGGGGGGGAAATTCAGCCTGAGTGCCCCCTTAGTTTCGGGAAAGGGCTGGCCTTTCCCCTGATGCAGCCTTTGTCCTTTACACCGGTTTGAAACCAGATCTAAGAGGGTGAAGGCAGAACAGAGCAAGTTCGCTCTCCTTCCACTTATCTTTTATCTAGATCTCCTTTCCTCTCAATCTGTCCGGATGTGAGCGGCTGCGATTAATTCCTTCCTGTCTGTGGAAAAACATTGAAGACGTATTTGATTTTCATCCAGAGTTTCAAATCTGGCTTTTGCCTCTTTTGCCTGACATTGCAGCTGAGGGCAAAGGATCCCCACCTCCCTTGATTTCTGATTTTATCTGCTGCGTTTGGCTGGAGGCTGTTTGTTCCAAAGGCTGCATGAGGAAATGCTGCAGTAATCCTGGTTCCCAGTGGGCATCAGTTCATAGAATCCGAGACTAACAAGAGTTGGAAGGGACCTTGGAGGTCTTCTAGTCCAACCCCCTGCTCTGGCAGAGACCCCATATCATCCTGGTCAAGTGATGACCCAATTTCTTCTGAAAAGCCTACAGTAATGGAGCACCCACAACTTCTGTTTCACTGATTAATTGTTCTCACTGTCAGGAAGCTTCACCTCAGTTCTAGGTTGCTTCTTTCCTTGATGAGTTTCCATCCGTTGCTTCTTGTCCTGCCTTCAGGCGCTTTGGAGAACAGCTTGACTCCCTCTTCTTTGGGGCAGCCCCTGAGATACTGGAAGACTGCTATCCTGTCCGCTCTCGTCCTTCTCTTCGTTAAACTAAACATACCCAATTCCTGCAACCGTTCTTCATATATTTGAGCCTCCAGCCCCCTGATCATCTTTGTTGCTCTTCTCTGCGCTCTTTCCAGAATCTCAACATCCTTTTTTTACATGTAATAATAATAATAATAGTAAAGTTGGAAGGGGACCTTGGTGGTCATCTAATCCAACCCCCTGCTCAGGCAGGAAACCCTGTACCATTTCGGACAAATGGCTGTCCAGTCTCTTCTTAAAAACGTCCAGTGTTGGAGCATTCACCGCTTCCGGAGGCAGGTTGTTCCACTGGTTAATTGTTCTCACTGTCAGGAAGTTTCTCCTTAGATCCAGGTTGCTTCTCTCCCTGATTTAGTTTCCCTCCGTTGCTTCTTGTCCTGCCTTCAGGCGCCTTGGAGAACAGCTTGACTCCCTCTTCTTTGGGGCAGCCCCTGAGATATTGGAGCTCTGCTATCATGTCCCCCCTCTTCCTTCTCTTCGTTAGACTAGAGTAGGTCTATACATATGTTGGATATAGTATGTTTTAAATGTGTGTTATGTATGCATACACTTTGAGAGCAAGTAACTAAATTTCATTTTTAATGTGTGCCATTGTGCCCACAAGAAAAAATGACAATAAAGGTAATCTAATCTAATCTAATTAATCATCTAATATAGGATAGGATAATATGATATAGTATAGTATAGTATAGTATAGTATAGTATAATATAATATAATATAATATAATATAATATAATATAATATAATATAATATTATTGTAAACTGCTTGGCATGTATCTATATATAAGAAATAAACTTCCACATCTATGCTCAGAACAGCAGCAGGTCCTTCTAAGAATTTTATAACTTTTATAACTTTAAGAATTGAGTTTCAGCACGCTTGTTTAATAATAATAATAAAAGTTGGAAGGGACCTTGGAGGTCATCTAGTCCAACCCCCTGCTCAGGCAGGAAACCCTATACCCTTTCAGACAAATAGCTGTGCAGTCTCTTCTTAAAAACTTCCAGTGTTGGAGTATTCACAGCTTCTGGGGACAGGTTGTTAATAATAATAATAATAATGTTGGAAGGGACCTTGGAGGTCATCTAGTCCAACCCCCTGCTCAGGCAGGAAACCCTATACCCTTTCAGACAAATAGCTGTGCAGTCTCTTCTTAAAAACTTCCAGTGTTGGAGTATTCACAGCTTCTGGGGACAGGTTGTTAATAATAATAATAATGTTGGAAGGGACCTTGGAGGTTATCTAGTCCAACCCCCTGCTCAGGCAGGAAACCCTATACCATTTCAGACAAATCATTGTCCAGTCTCTTCTTAAAAACTTCCAGTGTTGGAGCGTTCACAGCTTCTGGAGGCAGGCTGTTCCACTGATTAATTGTTCTAACTGTCACTTTCTCAGCGCCTGTTTCATTTCTCTTTCTGGCACCTGTGTTTTTGGATTGTTTAATTTTTTTATTAATCTGTAATCTGTTTTGAGAGGGCTTCAGGCTAAGACCGTAACTTGAAAAATGAAGCGGAAATACGAGCGGTCACAGGGCACAAGATTCACACACAAGTTTTTCCTACTGGCTGCTGCCAAGTGTTTCGAAACAAAGGACACCAGGTTAATGCCATTGTGCAGTTCTGTTCCCACAAGAGACACAAAGCTGCAGCTGGTTTAGCTTTTCCTTTGAAATCTTTGAGTCAAGTAACTTTCACCGAACTTCACACCCTTGCTGTCAACGTTTAAGCCGGGAGTCTTCCAACTTCGCCCTTCGATGACTTGTGGATTTCAACTCCCAGAATTCCTCAGCCAGAACGTTTTAAGACGGGGGCCTTCCAACTTGGCCCTTTTAGGACTTGTGGACTTCAATTCCCAGAATTCCTCAGCCAGACACGCTGCCTGGGGAATTCTGGGAGTTGAAGTCCACATATGCTGGGTGGGGGATTCTGGGAGTTGAAGTCCATTCATCTTAAAGCTGCCACGTTTGGAAGACACTGTTCTAAAGCTTTCCCTGGGGTATTCATTCACCCTGTTTGTATGCCAAGATCTTCCACATAAAGAGCAGTGCTGTTTCTCAGTTTTGATGAAAAAGATTCCCTGTGACCTGAGGGGGGGGGAAAAATCAAAACTACGTGATGCCAACGTAGCATTGAACTTCATGCTCACCTGCAAAGGTAGAAAAATGGCTTTAGCCATTAAAATCGGTTTCCAAAAGGAATCCCAAATCCTGTGCTGCAGCTCCCTCTAGTGGCAGCCAGGAAGACAAGCAGCCACAAAATTAAATTTTATTGCCCGAAATTTCTATTGCTAAGGGAGATCGTTGTTAAGTGTGTTTTTCCCCATTTTATGACCTTTCTTGCCAATGTTGTTAAGTGACGCACTGCAGTTACTGCGTTAGTAGCTTCCCCCATGGATTTTGCTTGTCCAGAGGTGGCAAGAGGGGATTGTGTGGTTCCCTTCTGGGATGCTGCGACCGTCATAAATACGAACCAGTTGCCAAGCGTCCCAGTTTTGATCACGTGGCCATGGGGTAGTAGGTGTTAAGCATGAAAGTCAGTCATAAGTAACTTTTTTTAAGTGCCGTCGTAACTTCGAACAGTCACTAAACAAGTGGTTGTAAGACGAGGGTTACATAAATAAAATAAAATAAATCCTACAGCTGAGGTCTTGGGCTCTTTCAAAACAATCTCTGTCGGATTAACCCTAGAATAGGAATAGAATAGAATATGGAAAATAGAATAGAAAAGAATAAAGAATGGAGAATAGAACGGAACGGAATGGAACAGAACAGAATAGAATAGAATAGAATTATGGAAAGAATAGAATAGAATAGAATAGAATAGAATAGAATAGAATAGAATAGAATAGAATAGAATAGAATAGAATAGAATAGAATAGAATAGAATTATGGAAAGAATAGAATAGAATAGAATTATGGAAAGAATAGAATAGAATAGAATAGAATAGAATAGAATTATGGAAAGAATAGAATAGAATAGAATAGAATAGAATAGAATAGAATAGAATAGAATAGGATTATGGAAAGAATAGAATAGAATAGAATAGAATTATGGAAAGAATAGAATAGAATAGAATAGAATAGAATAGAATAGAATAGAATTATGGAAAGAATAGAATAGAATAGAATAGAATTATGGAAAGAATAGAATAGAATAGAATAGAATAGAATAGAATTATGGAAAGAATAGAAGCTGGAAGGGACCTTGGAGGTCTTCTAGTCCAGCCCCCTGCTCAGGCAGGAGAACCTATACCACCTCAGGCAGGTGATCGTCTAGCCTCTTCTTAAAAACCTCCAGGGATGGAGCACCCATGATTTCTGGTGGCAAGCTGTTCCACTGGTTAATTGTCCTCACTGTCAGGAAGTTTCTCCTTAATTCCAGATTGCTTCTCTCCTTGATCAGTTTCCAACTATTGTTTCTTGTCCTTCCCTCTGGTGCTTTGGAGAATAACTTGACCCCCTCCTCTTTGTGGCAGCCCCTCAGATACTGGAACGCTGCTATCCTGTCCCCCCTATTTCTTCTTTTCTTCAGACTAGCCAGACCCAAGTCCCGCAGCCCTTCTTCGTATGTTTTAGTCTCTTGGCTTCCATTCTCTTAAGCCTCTAGTCCTCTTTGGGCGGGGGGGGGACAAAGTCCAGCCTATCAAAAGGTTTCTCGCTGCCCGCCAGGTCAAAATCAGTAACCCAGCGGGATGCTCGTTACTCATTGTCCCAACCAGGCCCATAAAAGCGGAACGATCCACCGGGGCTACTTCCCAGGGCAAAGCACCCAGTGCTTATCCAGAAAGTCCTTGAATGGGCAACACCTTGAGGCAACAACCTCTTTTCTCCAGGCACCGGCAATAAAGGCATATAAATAACTGGGACGGCTATAAAAACCGAGCAGTCACAGCTGCCTCTTTTTCAGACGAAGGGCGTCCGGTGCCGGTCATTTACGTGAGTGTTGGGCTTTTTTATTATTATTATTATTATTAATTTTTTTTAAAATTTTACAATAACATTCCCTTCCCCAAACCCTCCCAACCCACCCCAATACCCTCCCCCCCATCTACCCAGAGCTGAATACAGGCTTAATTAAAACTTAAAAGAAAAAATTTAAACACCAATCAACCATAAACAAATTTGATCATAGTCATTAAACAAATTATAAAATACTTTAACACCAATATATATAGAAAAGAGAAAGAGGGGGAAAAAAAGAAACAAGAAGAAGAAAAAAAAGGTAATAATAATTATACTTCTAATTATACTTCTAAATAATATCTTAAACTTTAAATATAAGAGTGTTGGGCTTTGACAGCCTGGAGTGGGGGGTGCTGGGGGGGGGACTGGGAAAAAAATGGGCACCGTTGGCACGGCGGAGGGCATCGAGGTGTGGAATTTATCCCCGGATGATTTCCTGGAATGAAAATGGGATCGGTCGAGGCCCTTTTCTCCTGAGCGTGCAGCTGGCAAGGCTGGCGGCGCGCGGTTTTGGGGACCCCCTTCAAATCTGTGGAAGCATTAAGAGCCCCCCCCCTGTGCCTTTTCCACCCCAGGTGCTGAGCAACCTGCGCGGAAATGGAAGGCGTCCTTTACCTAAAGTTGCTCTCTGTTGTAGCCCTCGCGCCGGGCGTCGTCACAGGTAAGGAGAGACGTTCGGACTGGATTTGGCATTTTTTGTCCCCCCACAGCTAATAACAACAACAACAATAATGATGATGATGATGATGATGATGTTGGAAGGGACCTTGGAGGTCTTCTAGTCCAACCCCCTGCTCAGGCAGGAACACAATACCATTTCTGACAAATGGCTGTCCAGTCTCTTCTTAAAAACTTCCAGTGTTGGAGCATTCACCGCTTCTGGAGGCAAGGAGTTCCACCGGTTAATTATTCTAACTATCAGGAAGTTTCTCCTTAGTTCTAGGTTGCTTCTCTCCTGGATTAGTTTCCATCCGTTGCTTCTTCTCCTGCCTTCAGGCGCTTTGGAGAATAGCTTGACTCCCTCTTCTTTGGGGCAGCCCCTGAGATATTGGAATACTGCTATGTCCCCAATAATAATAATAATAATAATAATAATGATGATGATGATGATAAAGTTGGAAGTGACCTTGGAGGTCATTTAGTCCAACCCCCTGCTCAGGCAGGAAACCCTATCCCATTTCAGTCCAAGGGCTGTCCAGTCTCTTCTTAAAAACTTTCACTGTTGGAGCATTCACCGCTTCTGGAGGCAGGTTGTTAATAGTAATAATAAAGTTGGAAGGGACCTTGGAGGTCATCTAGTCCAACCCCCTGCTCAGGCAGGAAACCCTACACCATTTCGGACAAATGGCTGTCCAGTCTCTTCTTAAAAACTTCCAGTGTTGGAGCATTCACCGCTTCTGGAGGCAGGCTGTTCCACTGGTTAATTGTTCTCACTGTCAGGAAGTTTCTCCTTAGTTCTAGGTTGCTTCTCTCCTTGATTATTATAATAATCAATAAAGTTGGAAGGGACCTTGGAGGTCATATAGTCCAACCCCCTGCTCAGGCAGGAAACCCTATCCCATTTCAGACAGATGTCAGTCCAGTCTCTTCTTGAAAGCTTCCAGTGATAAAGCTTCCACAACTTCTGGAAGCAGGTGGTTCCACTGGTTAATTGTTCTGACTGTCAGGAAGTTTCTCCTTAGTTCCAGGTTGCTTCTCTCCTTGGTTAGTTTCCATCCATTGCTTCTTGTCCTGCCTTCAGGCGCCTTGAAAAATAGCTTGACTCCTCAACTTAACGACCATTTGTTTTGTGACCTTTCCAAGTTACAACAGCACTGGAAAAAAATGAATTAGGGCTGTTTTTTCACACTTAACAGCCGTTGTGGTATCTCCATGGTCACGTGATTAAAATTCAGGCGCTCAGCAACCGACTCACTTTTATGACGGTCACAGCGTCCTGGGGTCATAAAGGTGTCCCTGTTGTGACCTTCCGACAAGCAAAGTCGAAGGGGGAAAGCCAGATTCGCTTAATGACCCTCTTACTAATCACCTGCAGTGATTCTCTTAACAATGCTGGCAAGGAAAGTCATAAAACGGGGCAAAAGGACTACCTCGCTTAGCAACAGAAATTTTGGGCTCAGGGACTTTGAGAACTACCTATATTGAGTCTTTCCCAAGGACCTGGGAGAGGCAGATATGGATGTTTGATGGGCTTAAAGGTACCGTGGCTGGAACGACAATTAATTAAAACTAAAGGCGACTCTACGTGGCTCAGAATCCATACAAATAAGACAAAACCTTGAAAGAATAAATACTGATGCTGAAATTGATTTGCAGAAAAGGAAGGAAGGGAGGGAGGGAGGGAGGGAGGATGGGGAAGGAGATGGGAATGAGAAGGAAGGAAGGAAGGAGATAGGAAGGAAGGAAGGAAGGAAGGAAGGAAGGAAGGAAGGAAGGAAGGAAGGAAGGAAGGAAGGAAGGAGATGGGAAGGAGAAGGAAGGAGATGAGAATGAAGGAACGAAAGAAGATGGGAAGGAAAGGGAGGGAGGAAGGAAGGAGATGGGAATGAAAAGGAAGGAAGGAAGGAAGGAGATGGGAAGGAGAAGGAAGAAAGATGGGAATGAAAAGGAAGGAAGGAGATGAGAATGAAGGAAGGAAGGAAGGAAGGAAGGAAGGAAGGAAGGAAGGAAGATGGGAAGGAAAGAAGGGAGACAGGAGGGAGGGAGGAAGGAAAGAAGGAGATGGGAATGAAAAGGAAGGAAGGAAGGAAGGAAGGAGATGGGAAGGAGAAGGAAGGAAGGAGATGAGAATGAAGGAAGGAAGGAAGATGGGAAGGAAAGAAGGGAGGGAGGGAGGGAGGGAGGAGATGGGAATGAAAAGCAAGGAAGGAAGGAAGGAAGGAAGATGGGAAGGAAAGGAGGGAGGAAGGAAGGAGATGAGAATGAAGGAAGGAAGGAAGGAGATGAGAAGGAAGGAAGGAGATGGGAATGAAAAGGAAGGAAGCAGATGAGAATGAAGGAAGGAAGATGGGAAGGAAAGAAGGGAGGGAGGAGGGAGGAAGGAGGGAGATGAAAGGAAGGAAGGAAGATGGGAAGGAAAGAAAGGAAGGAAGAGGGAGGGAAGGGAGGAAGGAAGGAAGGAGGGTGGGGAGGGAGGGAATGAGAGGAAGGAAGGAAGGAGGGTGGGGAGGCAGATGGGAATGAAGGAGGAAGGGAGGAAGAAAGGACATGGGAATAAGGGGAAGGAAGGAAGGAAGGAAGATGGGAAAGAGATGGGGTCTTATCTGAGTCTATTAATCGCCTCCAGAATGAAGTGTCCCATTGGGACCCCAGTCCAGTTACCACAGCCAGGTCTTGAGGCCCTTTCGGAAGGCCAAAGACGGAGGGCGCATCCTTCCCGCCCTCTTTCCTTCCACCAACGTCTGGAATCATGGATGATTGGAACTCTTTCTTCCTGGGACCAACGGATTCTACCTGCAGGGAATCTCTGGAATATGAAGAACATATGAAGAACGGTTGTACGTCCAGTCTAACGAAGAGAAGGACGAGGGGGGACATGATAGCAGTCTTCCAGTATCTCAGGGGCTGCCCCAAAGAAGAGGCAGTCAAGCTCTTCTCCAAAGCGCCTGAAGGCAGGACAAGAAGCAACGGATGGAAACTCATCAAGGAGAGAAGCAACCTGGAACTAAGGAGAAACTTCCCATCAGTGTTATTCTGTATTCTGTTGCATTTGGACCGCAAAAATGGCCACGTAATTCGTCTGAAATCAGCACCAGCAGAAAATGTACGGACCATACGGGGACAGCATGAAGCTAACAGAAAAATATACTTGTAGTTCAGAGTTGAACTATTGGGGTTCTCTGAGCTGGATGATTTTCCTCACAGACCTTTCATGACTCAACTAGGTAACATCATCAGTGCTAGAAGGGAGGAGAAGGAGGAAGAGGACTGTGGGGTCCTTGGTGCCCTGAGCTTGGTGGTTTCCTTGCAGACCTTTCATGACCCAACTAGTGAATATCATCAGTGTTAGAAGGAAATAAGGTTTGCGGAGGAGGAGGAAGACTACTGTGGGGTCCTTGGTGCTCTCTGAGCTGGGTGGTTTTCTTGCAGACATTTCATGACCCAACTAGAGAACATCATCAGTGCTAGAAGGAGGAGGAGGAAGGAAGGAAGGAAGGAAGGAAGGAAGGAAGGAAGGAAGGAAGGAAGGAAGGAAGGAAGGAAGGAAAGGACTGTGGGGTCCCTGGTGCTCTCTGAGCTGGGTGGTTTTCTTGCAGACATTTCATGACTCAACTAGGGAAGATCATCAGTGCTAGAAGGGAGATGGGTTTGTGGGGAGGGGGAGGAGGAGGAGAACTGTGGGGTCCTTGGTGCTCTCTGAGCTTGTTGGTTTTCTTACAGATGTTTCATGACCAAACTAAGGATGATCATCAGTGCTTAGAAGGGAGTAGGGTTTACAGAGAGGAGAAGGAGAACAAGGAGGAGGAGGAGGACGACGACGACGACTGTTGGTGCTCCCTAAGCTGGTTGGTTTTCTTGCAGACGTTTCATGACCCAACTAGGGAGCATCATCAGTGCTTAAAAGGGAGTAGGGTTTACAGAGAGGAGGAGGAGGAGGAGGAGGAGGAGGAGGAGGAGGAGGAGGAGGAGGAGGAGGAGGAGGAGGAGGAGGAGGAGGACGACGACTGTGGAGTCCTTGGTGCTCCCTAAGCTGGGTGGTTTTCTTGCAGATGTTTCATGACCCAACTAGGGAGCATCATCAGTGCTAGAAGGGAGGGGGCTTTGTAAAGGGTGGGGAGCACGAGATGAAATGGATGGAAACTAATCTATCCCAGAACTAAGGAGGAATTTCCTGACAGTGAGAACAATTAACCAGCGGAACAACTTGCCACCGGAAGTGATGGGTGCTCCGTCCGTGGAGGTTTTTAAGGACGGCCACTTGTCTGGAATGGTGTAGTAGGGTCTCCTGCTTGAGCAGGGGGCTGGACTAGAAGACCTCCAGGGTCCCTTCCAGCTCTGTCACTCTGAGTCACTCCTTCCTCCCTCAGGCCTAGAACTGTCCATCAACGCCAACACTGGGGACTACGAGCTGCCGACCGAGGTGGGACGGACCCAGTCGCTCTGGTGCACCATTCAGCGTCACAGCCAGGAAGAGGAGCTGCTGTGGCTGCGAGGAGACGGGGAAGTGGACCTGCAGGAGGGGAACAAAGTGAACGCCAGCAACGTCTGCATCTCCCCCGTCACCGAGGAGGACGACGGCGTTTCCTTCACCTGCCAGTTGGCCCGGAACAAATCCGTGCAGATCTCTGTTCTGCTGAATGTCACCTGTGAGTGGGGCTTTCAAAAATAAGTGTTTATTGAAAATTGTACAAAGAAGAACAACAATGCCAACGCAAACTAGTAGAGGGGAAAAAAGGAGAAAAGGGATTTTTAAAAAAAGGAGGGAGGGAGGAAAAGGAGACATGAAGGAAGGAAGGAAGGAAGGAAGGAAGGGGAGAAAGGAAGGAAGGGGAGGGAGGGAGAGAGAGAAGGAGGGAGGGAGAGAGAAAAAGGATGGAAGGAAGGATGGAAGGAAGGAAAGAAGGAAGGATGGAAGGGAGAGAAAGGGAGGGAAGGAGGAAGGGAGGCAGAGGGAGAGACAGAAAAAGGAAGGAAGGAGAGGGAGAGGGAAGGAAAGGGAGAGAAAGGGAGGGAGGAAGGAAGGAATGAAGGAGAAGAAGCAGTAAGGGGAAAGAAAGAAGGAAGGAAGGAAGGAAGGAAGGAAGGAAGGAAGGAAGGAAGGAAGGAAGGAAGGAAGGAAGGAAGGGGGAAGGAAGGGAAGGAGGGAGAGAAGGAGAAGAAGCCGTAGAAAGAGGAAGGAAGGAAGGAAATTGGAAACAGGAGACAGTGAAAAAGAGGAGAAAGAAGGAAGAAAGGAAAAAATAGGAAGGGAGGGAGGGAGGAAGGAAAATGGGAGTGAAAAAGGAGAAGGAAGGAAGAAAGAAAGAGAGAGAGGGAGGGAAGGAGGGAGGGAGGAAGAAAGAAAGAAAGAAAGAAAGAAATAGAAAAATCTTCTGATTTCCTTTCCAGCAAATAATAAGTACAATTACAGAATTATCATTTTGTGTTTACTGTCCCGGGGAGGGTTGGGGAGGGGTCTGAGGAGGGAGGGGGTCCCATTGCCATAGAATTGGAGGCTGGGTTCCTTCCACAGCCAGTCCGCTGTTCTTTCTCCCCCCCCAAAAAAGATTATTGATCTTTAAATCTGATTAGAGAATTGTTTCTCAACCTCGGGCGCCCTTTAAACTTTAAGCAAGGCTGGCTGGGGAATTCTGGGAGCTGAAGGCCGCCTGGCTTAAAGCGCCCAAGGTTTCAGAATCCCTGGATTAGTCCCTTTCTAATGATTTGTATTTTCCCACTTGGATCCGGCGGGAGTGTTGAAGGAAAAATCTTCATCAGGGTTCGGTCCAAGCCGGGAATAAACAAAATGGAGACTGCTTTAGAAAGAAAGTTGCAGTTTATTGAAGAGGAGAGCCAGACAGGAAAATGGCTTTGGAACAGGGGTTCTCAACCTTGTCAACTTTAAGACTTCTGGACTTCAACTCCCAGAATTCCTCAGCCAGCAAAGCTGGCTGAGGAATTCTGGGAATTGAAGTCCACAAGTCTTAAAGTTGCCAAGGTTGAGAACCCCTGCTTTGGAAGAAAAGAGAGAGGGAGCACATGTAGGGAGTGGGTTTTTATACCCTCTGGAGCCTTTTGTTTGGAGTTGTTCCTGTGGCAGGAACTTTGACCTGAGTCGGAGTGTGCCTTTCTGGTATTCTGATGGTGGTGAGTTAGTCCTATTATGTCCCAAGGGTCCTATCCTGCTTCCCTGGGGCTGTGGCTGATGACTCTTAGATTTTTTTTAGTGTGTTGATTCTAGGGATCTTTCTTCCTAACCCCAGTTTCCCGACTCCACTCTTCCTGACAAGATTATCACATAGACTTGGTTTCTGTTTGGGACAGAGAGACTTGGGGAGGGGGGTGTTGGTTTCTGCCTTTTAAAATCCTTTAGGGCTGCGGTTCTCAACCTGTGGGTCGGGACCCCATTTGGGGTCGAACGACCATTTCACGGGGGTCGCCAAACAACGCAGTCCGCCATTTTTCCCCCCCTTTTCCTTAGCTGTGCTACTCCCTTTTATTCTATTGGCTTTTGAAAGCCAATAGAATAGACTCTCTTGAATAGAGTCTAATTCTATTGGCTTTCCAAAGCCAATAGGAATTGTCCGGGCTGTCTCTGCCCTGCTGAGCCCACCAAAAGTCCCAGTCTGCAAACGGTGCTGCACCAGTGGAGTAGTCCTCGACTTACGACCGGTTGAGTAGTCCTCGACTTACAACCGGTTGGGGGTCGCGGCATTAAAAAGGTTGAGAACCACTGCTTTAGGAAAATATATTCTGCCTTTTAAATGTTTCCAAGAATATTTCTTTCCCTGGGGGGGGGAGCTGACTTCCCACGGCAGGAAAATGGAGAACGTTGATTTCTCCTCGGCCATTTTATCCCTGCCGAGGCTATCATGGAAAAGGCACCTGGCAGGGACAGCTTGGGGGGGGGCACCCAGGGCAGCTGCCAAGCCTGGCCCTTCTCCGCTGACCCCGTGTGCTGGCGCTCCACAGACCCCCCCGTCCTGAGCGGAGAAGACCCACCCGTCACCCCTGCGGAGTGGGACGCGACCCTCGATTGCCGGGTCAAAGCCAACCCGCCTGCTCGGCTGACCTGGCTGAAGGACGACAAACCCCTGAGCCTGGAGGACTCCCGCTACTGGATTCTCCAAACCAGCGAGCTCTCCCAGCTGACCATTAAGCAACTCCAGCCGTCGGATGGAGGGAGGTACACCTGCGAGGCTCGCTCCCCGCGCGGAGAGAGCCGCAAAGATTTCCACCTGGTCGTCTCAGGTATGTGGGTCGATTCGTTGGTCTCCCGCCTGTACTCTTCGTACCTGTTAGCGAGGAATGTATCCAACCTCTCTCCCGCCTCCCAATTTATTCCCCACAACGACAACCCTGTGAGGTGGGTTGGGCTGAGAGAGAGAGGAACAGGCCAAAAGTTACCCAGCGGGACTAGAACACACCGTCACCTGGCGATTGGCTCTAAGTCACCTAGTCAGCTTTTATATCTAAGGCAGGACTAGAACTCACCGCTTCCTGGGGATTGGCCCAAAGTCACCCAGCCGGCTTTCATGCCTAAGGCGGGACTAGAACTCACCGTCTCCTGGTGATTGGCCAAAAGTCACTCTAGCATTCAAAGCTAAGGTGGGACTAGAACTCCCAGCCCCCTGGTGATTGGTCCAAAGTCTCCCAGCTGGCTTTCATGCCTAAGGCGAGACTAGAACTCACCGTCTCCTGGTGATTGGCCCAAAGTCACCCAGCTGGCTTTCATGCCTAAGGCGGGACTAGAACTCACCGTCTCCTGGTGATTGGTCCAAAACCACCCAGCTGGCTTTCATGCCTAAGGCAGGACTAGAACTCACAGCCTCCTGGTCATTGGCCCAAAATCACCCAGCTGGCTTTCATGCCTAAGGCAGGACTACAACTCACAGCCTCCTGGTCATTGGCCCAAAATCACCCAGCTGGCTTTCATGCCTAAGGCAGGACTAGAACTCACAGCCTCCTGGTCATTGGCCCAAAATCACCCAGCTGGCTTTCATGCCTAAGGCGGGACTAGAACTCTCCATCTCCTGGTGATTGGCCCAAAGTCACCCAGCCAGCTATGGCTAAGGTGGGACTAGAGCTCTCTGTCTCCTGGTGATTGGCCAAAAGTCACTCTAGCATTCAAACCTAAGGTGGGACTAGAACTCCCAGCCCCCTAGTGATTGGTCCAAAGTCTCCCAGCTGGCTTTCATGCCTAAGGCGGGACTAGAACTCACCGTCTCCTGGTGATTGGCCCAAAGTCACCCAGCTGGCTTTCATGCCTAAGGCGGGACTAGAACTCACAGCCTCCTGGTCATTGGCCCAAAATCACCCAGCTGGCTTTCATGCCTAAGGCAGGACTAGAACTCACAGCCTCCTGGTCATTGGCCCAAAATCACCCAGCTGGCTTTCATGCCTAAGGCGGGACTAGAACTCTCCATCTCCTGGTGATTGGCCCAAAGTCACCCAGCCAGCTATGGCTAAGGTGGGACTAGAGCTCTCTGTCTCCTGGTGATTGGCCAAAAGTCACTCTAGCATTCAAACCTAAGGTGGGACTAGAACTCCCAGCCCCCTAGTGATTGGTCCAAAGTCTCCCAGCTGGCTTTCATGCCTAAGGCAAAACTAGAACTCAGAATCTCCCGCTTTCTATCCTGCTGCCTTAACCACTAAACCAAACAGGCTAACTATTATGACCCCCCCCCCTTGGCCCTGTCCATCGGGGTCTGTGGCTCGGCCAGCAAGGCTTCCGTACCCAAAGTTTGCCTTTATCTCCCAATCCTTCCTTTTTAAAAATAAGACAGCCATTTGTCTGGAATGGTCTAGGGCAGGGATAAGGCAACCTTGGCCCTTTTATGACTGGTGGACTTCAACTCCCAGAATTCCTGAGCCAGCAGGGCTCAGCATGGAAACCTCTCCCTTTCCCCTCACCATGGCTGGCTCAGGAATTCTGGGAGTTGAAGTCCATGAGTCATAAAAGAGCCAAGATTCCCTCCCCCTGGCCTAGATCAGTAGTAGGCAACCTTGGCTCTTTTATGACTCGTGGACTTCAACTCCCAGAATTCCTGAGCCAGCCATGCTGAGGGGAAAGGGAGAGGTTTCCATGCTGTGCCGTGCTGCCTCAGGAATTCTGGGAGTTGAAGTCCATGAGTCATGAAGGGGAGCATAGTTCCCCCATGTTACCTCAGGAATTCTGGGAGTTGAAGTCCACGAGTCATGAAGGGGGCCATAGTTCCCCCATACTGGCTCAGGAATTCTGGGAATTGAAGTCCACCAGTCATGAAGGGGCCATAGTTCCCCCATGCTGGCTTAGGAATTCTGGGAGTTGAAGTCCACGAGTCATAAAAGCTTGCCTATCCCTGGACTAGCCAAATCCAAGTCCTGTAGTCGTAAGTCGAGGACAATTTGCCACAGTAAAGGCAGCCCTTCATGAGGTGGACAGCGTGAGGTCTTGTAGCAGGGAGTTCCACAGGTCCCCTTTTGCTGGAATACATCTCTTCTCCTGAAACTTCCCCATGGGCTCTTGGGAGGAAGTAGTCCTGTTTCTAATCCTCGCTCAGCCTTGCGTCACCACTGTGGGGAGAGTGGGGGGAATTTTCTAGAATTTTTTGGCCTCTTCTGACGCAGGTTTCTAAGAAGAAACAACTGGGTAGTTTCCAAAACCTATGTTTTTGAAGGGGGATTTCCAGTTCTAGGGGTGGTGAGACATTCGTGGAGGGTAGCATGTTTGAATTAGTTTGATCTAGAGCAGGGCTAGGCAACCTTGGCTCTTTTATGCCTCGTGGACTTCAACTCCCAGAATTCCTGAGCCAGCCACGCTGAGGAGAAATGGACAGGTTTCCATGCTGAGCCATGCTGGCTCAGGAATTCTGGGAGTTGAAGTCCACGAGTCATGAAGGGGCCATAGTTTCCCTCATGCTGGCTCAGGAATTCTGGGAGTTGAAGTCCATCAGTCATGAAGGGGCCATAGTTCCCCCATGCTGGCTCAGGAATTCTGGGAGTTGAAGTCCACGAGTCATGAAGAGGGCCATAGTTTCCCTCATGCTGGCTCAGGAATTCTGGGAGTTGAAGTCCATGAGTCATGAAGGGGCCATAGTTCCCCCATGCTGGCTCAGGAATTCTGGGAGTTGAAGTCCACGAGTCATGAAGAGGGCCAAAGTTTCCCTCATGCTGGCTCAGGAATTCTGGGAGTTGAAGTCCACGAGTCATGAAGGGGCCAAAGTTTCCCTCATGCTGGCTAAGGAATTCTTGGAGTTGAAGTCCACGAGTCATAAAAGAGCCAAGGTTGCCTACCCCTGGTCTAGGGTCTCCAGCTTGAGCAGGGTTGGACTAGAAGACCTCCAAGGTCCCTTCCAGCTGCATTATACTGGAAAAGCACCAAAATCAAAGCAATAGCAATAGCACTTGAACTTATATACCACTTCACAATGCTTTACAGCCCTCTCTAAGCGGTTTACAGAATCAGCCTGTTGCCCCCAACAATCTGGGTCCTCGTTTTACTGACCTCAGAAGGAAGGGAAGTTGAGTCAACCCTGAGCCGGTCAGGATCAAACTTCCTGGCTGCGGGCAGAGTCCCTGGTGCCCAAAAGGTGGGGGACCTCTGGCTTAACCAGCTGCAGTGATTCCCATCATGACCACTGCAAAAAAGTTTCACAAAACCACGTCCTTGACCCACCTGAAGACCAGCAAAAGTGACAAAGAGAATCCCAGGTTCCGTTGACGGTCGTAAGCCGAGGACTCCCTGCATTCCAATCCATGGAAGGAAGGAGGTGCTTGCTGAATGCCTTTAATAAAGTGGGTCTTACGTCACTGTCTCTTCCTTCCACCCCGCAGAGAGTCAACTGCCTTTCCCAACCGAAGCGGTCATCGCTGCAGGGGTGGTCCTGTCGCTCATCGCGCTCTTCGCTCTTCTGGTTCAATGGGAGAAGATCGGAAAGGTAGGAAGGGCCAAGGATTGCTCCAAGCCATTCCGAACTATACCTGCCAGGCGCGAAGAATCAGGGTCACGTGAATTCTCACAGCAGTTCCGTTCCAGTGAAGCCGATTTATTGCTCACACCTAAGCCCAGGGATCTAGTCAGCTAATGGCCAGCGCTATTTTGGTGCTAGACAACGCCAAATTCAAGAGGGCTTGGACGTAAAACCGTAAAACCGTTTGTGGGAAACGTAAGGATTCCAGGCTGATTCCTCTCTTGACTCTGCCCCCGGCCTCTGCCCCTCCTTCTCCTACTACACAATATCATATTGAACACAGTGCCCAGCGTTGTTTGTTTCATGAGCTGGGTGGCTTTCTAAATTGGGGGAAAAATATGAATAAATAAACACGAAACCCAATCAAGAGGAACGAGAACTTGAAAGAAAAAAAAATGAAATACATGGAACTTGGGAAAGTGTGTATGTGTGTATATGTGGACATGGATGGACGGATGGATGGACGGACAAATGTATATTAAAAGATAGATAGATAGATAGATAGATAGATAGATAGATAGATAGATAGATAGATAGATAGATAGATGATAGATAGATAGATACATACATACATACATACATACATACATACATACAGATGGACAGATAGATGGATGATAGATAATGATGGATGGATGGATGGATGGATGGATGGACAGATGTATATTAAATGATAGATTAGATAGATACATAGATACATACATATATATGGATGGATAGATTGATGGATGATAGATAATGATGGATGGATGGATGGACAGACGTATATTAAATGATATAGATAGAGAGACAGACAGAGATAATGGGTGGATAGATGGATGGAAGATAGATAGATCTAAACTCGAAGATGGATGGATGGATGGATGGATGATAGACAGAGAGACAGACAGATAGATAATGGATGGGTGGGAGATAGATAGATAGATAGATAGATAGATAGATAGATAGATAGATAGATAGATAATACATACATACATACATACATACATACGGATGGACAGATAGATGGACAATAGATAATGATGGATAGATGGACAGGTGGATGGACAGATAGATGGACGATAGATAATGATGGATAGATGGACAGACGGGCGGATGGATGGATGGACGGATGGATAGACGATAGATATTGGTGGATAGATAGATGATAGATAATGATGGATGGATGGATAGATATGGATGGATAGACAGACAGACAGATTCTTGTAATTGGCCATAACTTTGTGGGGCTGAAATCAGCTCAGTCACAAGTCTACACCAATTGAGGTAGAAGTCAAACAAAAAACGCGCCTCACACCCCACCCCACCCCGTCTTCTTTACCGTAAGAGGACCTGATTCTTCTTCCCACAGGCCGACATATAGCCTTTGGCACTGCAGGAGGCTGTCACGGGTGCAGTGAAAAGCCTGGTGTGTGTGTGTGTGTGTGTGTGTGTGCGCGCGCGCTTTTTCTTATTTTTACAAAGTGGTCCTGTCTTGGATGTGACCCAGGCATCATGTGTGGCGACCTGCTTCCTTTTGAAAACCGTGTCTCTCCAAGGTTGTGAAGACCCACCTTCTAAGTCGACTTAGCCAGCAGGAGGTGCTGCTGTTGCTTGAGTCCTGGTGCCCATATACACACACACACACACACGCACGCACGCATGCATGCATGCACGCACGAGCGGGCAAACACACACCCAACAGGAAGGAGCTGCCAACCGCCTCCTGGCCTTAGGCCGGTTTCCTAATTGCCGAAATGCAACCCTGTCAGGTATATAATGGGCTTCTTGTGGTTGCTTCACCTCTGCCCAACATCTGTGGGCAGGAGTGGCAGAGGGTGAGTGGCTTCCGCCCACTTCCTTTCGCAAGGGCCTTTTGGGCCAGGAGGCAGCTGGAGCCCCAGATGTGCGTCTTTAAAGTCGGCCTTCGGGCATTCGGGACCACCGAGCGATTGCCAGGGGAGGGAGTTATCCTGCCAAACGGAGCAAAAGTCTAGGCCAGGGGTCTTCCAACGTGGCCCTTTGATGACTTGTGGACTTCAGCTCCCAGAATTCCTCAGCCAATGTGCTTTAAGACAGGGGTCTTCCAGCTGGGCCCTTTTGTGACTGGTGGACTTCAACTCCCAGAATTCCTCAGCCAGGAGGCTTTAAGACAGGGCTCTTCCAACTTGGCCCTTTTATATCTTGTGGACTTCAAGCGTGCCTGGCTGAGGAATTCTGGGAGTTGAAGTCCACAAGTCATCAAAGGGCCACGTTGGCAGACCCCTGGCCTAGGCCAACACACCCATCCTAAATGCCCAAGCCCCTGTTGGAGGGAGATGGGTGGTTTAAATTGATATGAAATGTGAGGACTAGCCCTGATGATGTTCCCTAGTTGGGTCATGAAACGTCTGCAAGAAAAGCCCCCAGCTCAGAGAGCACCAAGGACCCCACAGTTCAGTCCTGAACTACAAGTATTCTCGTTTATTAATATAAAATGTAAATAAATAAATAACCTTGATATTGCGCCAAAAGAGTCACTCATGGAGGGATTTAAGCTGTTTCTAACTATGAAAATTAATTCTTTCTCTTTCTCTTCCTTCCTTCCTTTCTTCCATCCTTCCTTCCTCCTCCTTTTCTTTCTTTCTTCTTTTTCTTTCTTTTTTCTTTCTTTCTTCTTTCTTTTCTTTACTTTTCTTTCTTTCCATCTTTCTTTCTCTCTTTGTGTCTTTCTTTCTTTCTTTTTTCTGTTGCCCTGTCTGCCTGTCCCTTCCTTCCTTCCTTCCTTCCTTTCTTTCTTTCTTTCTTTCTTTCTTTCTTTCTTTCTTTCTTTCTTTCTTTCTTTCTTTCTTTCTTTCTTTCCTTTTTTCTTTTTCTTTCTTTCCATCTCTTTCTCTCTCTTTGTGCCTTTCTTTCTTGCTTTTTCTGTTGTCCTGTCCGTCTATCCCCTTCTTTCTCTTTCTCTCTCTCTTTCTTTCTTTCTTTCTTTCTTTCTTTCTTTCTTTCTTTCTTTCTTTCTTTCTTTCTTTTTCTTTCTTTCCATCTCTTTCTCTCTCTTTGTGCCTTTCTTTCTTTCTTTTTCTGTTGTCCTGTCCGTCTATCCCCTTCTTTCTCCCTCTTTCTCTTTCTTTCTTTCTTTTTCTTTTTCTTTTTCTTTCTTTCTATCTCTTTCTTTCTCTCTCTTTGTGCCTTTTTTCTTTCTTTTTCTGTTGTCCTGTCCGTCTATCCCCTTCTTTCTCTCTCTCTCTCTTTCTTTCTTTTTCTTTCTTTCTTTCTTTTTCTTTCTTTCTCTTTCTCTTTTTCTTTCTTTCTCTTTCTCTTTCTCTCTTCCTCCATTTCCTTCCATTTTTCACTTTTCCTTCCCTTCCCTTCCCCATTTCACTTTTTCCAAAAGTGTTTCAAGAAAACGGATTCTCTAAGCCACACTGCCCTGTAAGTATTTCTGATATTAGTCCTTATTCGTCTCTTTCTCAGGAAAAAAGAAACAGTCCTGATAAATGTAATCAGATGTTAACGTTTCTATATTACAGGCAGAAAGTAGAAAAAGCAGCTTTATTTATTAAGAGAGGTAGTCCTTGGGCTGATCCCAATCGAGTTTACTTTAATCCCATTACTACATGCAGACATCTGGGGTCAAGCTCTTCTCCAAAGCACCAGAAGGCAGGACAAGAAGCAACGGATGGAAACTAATCAAGGAGAGAAGCAACCTAGAACTAAGGAGAAACTTCCTGACAGTGAGAACAATTAACCAGTGGAACTCCTTGCCTCCAGAAGCGGTGAAGGCTCCAACACTGGAAGTTTTTAAGAAGAGACTGGACAGCCATTTGTCAGAAATGGTCTAGGGTTTCCTGCCTGAGCAGGGGGTTGGACTAGATGACCTCCAAGGCCCCTTCCAGCTCTAGTCTGATTCTAATTCTGAAGGGCTCTTCTCCTGGATCACCCCCCCTTCCCAGTTCAAAGTCCTTGACCGATGGGGTCCACAGCAGCCTCTTACCTCCAGCACAAGTGGGGCAGCCAGACCCATTGGGCTGAAACCGTTCCTTTGGTAACCTGGACCCATAACCAACGTCTTGAATTGGACCCAGTGGTGTTAGGGGCCACCTTTGCACCCCTAAAGGAGTCCATCTTCTGCATTCTGTGCCAGCTGTGGCTTCCGAAGATTCTTCACGGGAAACCCTGTGCCACTTGGGGATCCAGAAATAACCCTCTTTTTGGAAAGACCTTTTCCCGCCAGAAATCCTAACGGTCCCGACTCTGTTCACCGCATGCAAGGTGAACTTAAAATAGAATATCAGAGTTGGAGGGGGGCCTTGGAGATCTTCTAGCCCAACCCCTTGCTCTAGCAGGAAACCTTATACCATTCCAGACAGGTAGCTGTCCAGTCTCTTCCTAAACACCTCCAGTGTTGGAGCACCCACAACGTCTGGAGGCAAGGAGTTCCACTGGTTAATTCTTCTCACTGTCAGGAAGTTTCTCCTTAATTCCAGGTTGCTTCTCTCCTGGATTAGTTTCCACCCGTTGCTTCTTGTCCTGCCTTCGGGCGCTTTGGAGAATAGCTTGACTCCCTCTTCTTTGGGGCAGCCCCTGAGATACTGGAAGACTGCTATCATGTCCCCCCTCGTCCTTCTCTTCGTTAAACTTGTTTTTGTTGTTATTAGTTGCGAAGTCGTGTCCGACCCATCGCGACCCCATGGACAACGTTCCTCCAGGTCTTCCTGTCCTCTACCATCTTCTGGCGTCCATTTAAGTTCACACCTCCTGCTTCAGTGACTCCATCCAGCCATCTCATTCTCTGTCGTCCCCTTCTTCTCTTGCCCTCCATCTTTCCCAGCATCAGGCCCTTCTCCAGTGAGTCCTTCCTTCTCATTAGGTGGTCAAAGTATTTGAGTTTCAACTTCAGGATCTGGCCTTCTAAAGAGCAGTCGGGGTTGATCTCTTCTAGGACTGACCGGTTTGGTCACCTTGCAGTCCAGGGGACTCGCAGGAGTCTTCTCCAGCACCAGAGTTCAAAGGCCTCCATTCTTTGGCGCTCAGCTTTTCTTGTGGTCCAACTTTCACAGCCATACATTGCAACTGGGAAAACCATTATCCTTGAGTATACGCACTTTTGTTGGCAGGGTGATGTCTCTGTTTTTTAGTATGCTGTCTAGATTTGCCATAGCTTTCCTCCCCAGGAGCAAGCGTCTTTTAATTTCTTGGCTGCAGTCCCCATCTGAGGTGATCTTGGAGCCAGGAAGATAAAAATCTGTCTTTTTTGTTCTTCTCTGCGCTTTTTCCAAAACCTCAACATTTTGTTTTAATAATATGATGACCAAAACTGGATGCAGTTTTCCAAGGTGTGGTCTGACTAAGGCTTACTAAGATGAAGGACCTCCATCTTTGGGCTGCCCTGTTTTTGTCACGGTTGGGTTTCCTCCACTGCAAAATGAAACGATGGTTGGTCTCTCCGCCTCCTGATGCATTGACAGACGGAGGTTCAAATTGCACGGCTGCTAATTGTGCCGTTTTTGTTGCTTTTGGTTTTAATTTCCTGCTTGCTGCCCAGAGTCGCGGGGTGAGATGGGCAGCCCTTTTATTTTATTTTATTTTATTTATTAATTTTTTTTCATCATATGTTAACTTTTCCAATCAACAAGTTGTCTCGAGTTTGCTAAGCTAATACATGTTCAATTCCTAATCCTTCATTCTTTTCTCTAACCAAGAATAAAATAAATTCCAAATTTGATAGCAGTCTGTATCTTCTTTGTCTTTCAACCTCATAGTTAATCTGTCCATTTCTGCACATTCCAGTATTTTCCTGATTATTTCTTCCTCTGATGGCAGTCCTTCATTCTTCCAGTATTGTGCAAAAATTATTCTCGCTGCTGTGGTGATGTGTAAAATTAAATATAATTTCTGCTTATTAGTCTTTTTAGACATAATGCCTAGTAGAAAAAGTTCAAGTTTAAAATCCACTTGTTCGCCCAATATTTTTTTCTAACCACATATGAATATTTTTCCAATAAGCCTTTGCCTTCCCACATGTCCACCAAATATGATAATACGTGCCTATGTTATGTTTATATTTCCAACATCTATCTGACGTATTTTTAAACATTTTTGCTAATCTTGCTGGTGGAAGGTGCCATCTATAAAACATTTTATACAGATTTTCTTTGTACGAAGTTGACATTGTTAATTTATAGTTTCTCTCCCATAACATTTTGGGCAGCCCTCTTAAATGGCTTTAATTGCTTTCTGGCAGCGCCCAAATAGAAGCCCGTGGCTCGTAACTCAACCAGTCGCTATGCTGGATGTATTTGTCAAGACTGATTCACCGTTTCACCCGGATTTTCTCTTCTCATATCTTGACAAGGGGGTGCAAAGATGGGAGGAACGGTCTCTAGGGATCCCCAACCGTAGCAACTTGAAGACTTGTGGACTTCAATTCCCAGAATTGAATTGAATTCTGGGAGTTGAAGTCCACAGGTCTTGAAGTTGGCACTGCTCTAGGCCAGTGGTTCTCCACTTGTGGGTCGGGACCCCATTTGGGGTGGAACGACCATTTCACGGGGGTCGCCAAACAACGCAGTCCGCCATTTTTTTCCCCTTTTCCTTAGCTGTACTACTCCCTTTTATTCTATTGGCTTTTGAAAGCCAATAGAATAGACTCTCTTGAATAGATTCTAATTCTATTGGCTTTCAAAAGCCAATAGGAATTGTCCAGGCTGTCTCTGCCCTGCTGAGCCCGCCAAAAGTCCCCTTCTGCAAACGGTGCTGCACCAGTTGAGTAGTCCTTGACTTACAACCGGTTGAGTAGTCCTCGACTTACGACAGGTTGGGGGCCACGGCATTAAAAAGGTTGAGAACCACTGCTCTAGGCAGCTGACAGCCCAAGGACTGTTCCCACAACAAGAAGAAATATTACTATTGGGCAATGTGAACACCCAGTGGGTGGGGGTGCGGGAGTTTATCATTTCACTAAACAGGTTTTCGAGCGGAAAAAACAGAGGTGGTTTTGATTTCTTCTGTGCTAATGTAAGATTTTAGTAAAAGTATTATATTCTTGGTAAAATCATGTCCCAGGAGTTGTCTTTTTCTGGAAATGCTGCTGGACAGTTGACAATATTTGTATCTGAGTGCCCGGGAGTCAGCCCAAGCTTCATGTTTTGTTCCCTTATTTACTTTATAGCTGGCAGTCGGAGAAATCTTAATACAATACTCTAGAAAGAGTACAGAGAAGAGTAACAAAGATGATTAGGGGACTGGAGGCTAAAACTTATAAGGAACGGTTGCTAGAATTGGGTATGTCTAGTTTAACGAAGAGAAGGACAAGGGGGGACATGATAGCAGTGTTCCAATATCTCAGGGGCTGCCATAAAGAAGAGGGAATTAAGCTATTCTCCAAACCACCTGAAGGCAGGACAAGAAGCAACGGGTGGAAACTAATCAAGGAGAGAAGCAACCTAGAACTAAGGAGAAACTTCCTGACAGTGAGAACAATTAACCAGTGGAACCGCCTGCCTCCAGAAGCGGTGAATGCTCCAACACTGGAGGTTTTTAAGAAGAGACTGGACGGCCATTTGTCTGAAATGGTGTAGGGTTTCCTGCCTGAGCAGGAGGTTGGACTAGATGACCTCCAAGGTCCCTTCCTTTACTATTATTATTATTATTATGGATCATCGCACAGTCAGCCAGATGTTCAGACTGGATTTGGCATTTTGTCTACCTATCGAGTCCTTACCCAGGACCTGGGATAGGCAGATGTGGATGTTTGATGGTATTACAGATATCGTCGCAGGATGGAAGCAGTTCCTAATAAGGCCGCCTTTTGCAATTGACTAATAGCGAATTTGTCAATGCCAATGGTGTTCAAGTGGTGCTCCAGTTGTTTTGGGATTGCACCCAAGGAGCCTATGACTATTGGTACTACCCTTGCTTGCTTTTGCCACAGTCTTTCTATTTCTATTTGTAGGTCTTTGTATTTTGTTATTTTCTCCAGTTCTTTCTCTTCTATTCTGCTATCTCCAGGCACTGCCACGTCCACTATCCAGACTTTTTTGTCTTTCTTATCGACAATTGTTAAGTCTGGGGTGTTATGTTGCAGGTGCTTGTCTGTTTGAATTCTGAAGTCCCAGAGCAGTTTAATTTTATCATTTTCTATGACTTTCTCTATTTTATGATCCCACCAGTTTTTGCTTACAGGCAAATGATATTTTTTGCAGATCTTCCAATGCACCATTGTTGCTACTTTGTCATGCCGCTGCTTGTAATCAGTTTGTGCAATCTTCTTGCAACAGCTTACCAAGTGGTCCACTGTTTCTTCAGCTTCTTTGCATAGGCGGCACTTACTGTCTGTTGCTGTCTTCTCAATTTTGACTTTGTATGCATTTGTCCTTAAGGCTTGGTCTTGTGCAGCCAGAATTAGTCCCTCGGTCTCTTTCTTCAATTTTCCTGCTCTTAGCCATTGCCAGGTTTTATTATTATCTGCTTTCCCAGCTATTTTTTCATGTATTGGCCATGTAGTGCTTTGTCTTCCCATGCCTCTATTCTGTTCTTCATTTGGTCTTTCTTGTAGGCCAGTTTGGTCTCTCCAGTAGTTAGTAAGCCTTCCTGATATACTAATTTCAGTGCATCTTCATCATTGTTCTTCAGATATTCTTCCAAAGCCATTTTTTCTTCTTCAACCATCTGATGTATTTGTAACATTCCATGCCCACCTATTTGCCTTGGTAGATAAAGTCTATCAATGTCACTGCGTGGATGAAGGGCATGATTCATTGTCATTATTTTTCTGGTCTGCCTATCCATTGCTTTTAGTTCTGCTTGAGTCCAATCCACTATTCCGGCTGTGTACCTAATGACTTGGATTGCCCAGGTGTTGATTGCCTTTATGGTATTTCCTCCATTGAGTTTGGATTTTAAAATATTCTTCACTCTCTTGATGTATTCACCTCTAATCTTTTTCTTGAGTTCAGTGTGCTTGATGTTGTCAGCTTGGAGGATACCCAAGTATTTGTAGTACTCTTCCTCATCCAGACTCTTAATGTTATTTTCGTGGGGCATCTTGATCCCTTCAGTTTTCACTATTTTTCCTTGTTTGATAGTAAGTGTGGCACATTTGTCCAAGCCAAACTCCATTACAATATCTTGGCTATATATACGGACAGTGTTGAGCAGCGATTCTATTTCAGATGATGTTTTTCCATACATCATCTGATTATTAATATAATTATTATAATTAATATATAATTAATATTATTATTATTATTATTATTATTATCATTATTATTATTATATTTCCTTTTTTTTAACAGGTGAAGGAGTTCTTATTCTGGAGCAACCTCAGCGGTGACTTGCGTGACTTCAGATTGCAAATCCGAAAGGAAATTCGTAGTAGGGTTGCAATTGAAGCATTGCTTTGATTTCTAACTTAAATAAATCAAATTTGTAACTTATCCATGTCCAGGCAACGTTGACATTTATGACTGATCCACTTTCGAGCAACAATAAAACGTATAGTTTTGTCCACCTTCAAAACAGATGCTCTCTTATACCTTTGGCTTAGTGGAGCTTTCTTGACAGATTTCAACTAATCTGGTTTCAAAACCACTCGGCAAACAATGAATCAAGTCTCCATGTTTGCACCAGGCCTCTGGAATCACCACGATTAAGACATATAGAGTTGTTGAAATGGGTTTGGTAATGACGGGCTGACTAACCCTGCTCCAATTAGCCTGGAGACTAATGATGGAGGAATTGCTCTCTTTATCTCATTTGTGCATCTGGCAAGAATTGAAAAAAGTTGGCAGGACTTTATGCTGCTCTCTTTTCAGGACTGCTGTCTTCTTAATGTGCGGACTAGTCTTGGTCACCACGATGTAAAAAAGATGTTGAGACTCTAGAAAAGAGTGCAGAGAAGAGCCACAAAGATGATTGGGGGACTGGAGGCTAAAACACATAAGGAACGGTTGCTGGAATTGGGGATGTCTAGTTTAACGAAGAGAAGGACGAGGGGGGACAGGATAGCAGTCTTCCAGTACCTCAGGGGCTGCCCCAAAGAAGAGGGAGTCAAGCTGTTCTCCAAAGCGCCTGAAGGCAGGACAAGAAGCAACGGATGGAAACTGATCAAGGAGAGAAGCAACTTAGAACTAAGGAGAAACTTCCTGACAGTTAGAACAATTAACCAGTGGAACTCCTTGCCTCCAGAAGCGGTGAATGTTCCAACACTGGAGGCTTTTAAGAAGAGAATGGACAGCCACTTGTCAGTGATGGTATAGGTAGGACTTCCTGCTTGAACAGGGGGCTGGACTAGAAAACCTCCAAGGTCCCTTCCAGCCCTAGGATTCTATGAGGAAGGAAGGAAGGAAGGAAGGAAGGAAGGAAGGAAGGAAGGAGGCAGGGAGGGAGGAATAGAGGGAAGTGATAAAAGGAAAGAGGGAGGGAAGAAAGGAAAGACAAGAATGGAAAGAAGAAAAGAAACAAAAATAGAAAAAAGGAACAGGAAGGAAGAATTCGTAGAAGCCCTGGGATTCTACGAACTCTGTAAGCCGGTCCTGGATTCCACCTTCCATCTATGCTGGGTGGAGGGATCAGGAAGAGGTGAATGAGAAGATGGTCCAGCTTTTTTCCTGCTCCTAACCAGTGTTTCTCAACTTGACAATTTTAAGGCATGTGGACTTCAACTCCCAGAATTCCACAGCCAGCAATGCTGGCTGTGGAATTCTGGGAGTTGAAGTCCACATGCCTTAAAATTGTCAAGGTTGAGAAACACTGCAAGCGCTTCCTTGCTCTGGAATCGCCCTTCTAAGATTCATTCTGGCTTCTGGGGGGGGGGGACACCTGTTACCTCCTTCAGATTTAATTGAGGTTGATTTTCATTTGCTCAGGGATAAGCAATTCCCATTCCCAGGTGAGCGTCTTTGAGCTGCTGGCTAAATACGCGGGCTGTTAAGCAGGATTCAGGGATCCGCCTCCTCTTTCCTCCCGTCTCTCTTTCCCTTGAACCCAACCATCCTCTTATTTTGCATTTAGTTACTGTATTTAGTTAAAACCTTTCTAGCGGGGTTTCTCAATCCTGGCCAGTTTAAGACACGTGGACTTCAACTCCCAGAATTCCCCAGCCAGTAGCTTATTGTCTTTCTTTCTTTCTTTCTTTCTTTCTTTCTTTCTTTCTTTCTTTCTTTCTTTCTTTCTTTCCTTCCTTCCTTCCTTCCTTCCTTCCTTCTTTCCTTTCCCCTTCCTTCCTTCCTTTCTCCTAATCTTCCTTCCTTTTTTCTTTCTTCCTTTCTTTTTTCTTTCTTCTTCCTTCCTTCCTTTTTTCTTCTTCCTTTCCTTCCTTTCCTTCTTCCTTTCTTTTTTCTTTCCTTTTCCCTTCCCTTTCTTTCTCCTAATCTTTTCTTCCTTCTTCCTTTTTCTTTCTTTCCTTTTTCCTTCCTTTTTTCTCTTTCCTTCCTTTCTTCTTCCTTTTTTCTCCTCCCTTTCTCTTTCTTTCTCTCCTCCCTCCCTCCCTCTTTCTTTTTTTCTTTCTTTCCTTCCTTCTTTCCTTTCCCCTTCCTTCCTTTCTCCTAATCTTCCTTCCTTTTTTCTTTCTTCCTTTCTTTTCTCTTTCTTCTTCCTTCCTTCCTTTTTTCTTCTTCCTTTCCTTCCTTTCCTTCTTCCTTTCTTTTTTCTTTCCTTTTCCCTTCCCTTTCTTTCTCCTAATCTTTTCTTCCTTCTTCCTTTTTCTCTTTCCTTTTTCCTTCCTTCATTCCTTCCTTTTTCTCTTTCCTTTTTCCTTCCTTCTTTCTTTCCTTTTTTCTTTCCTTCCTTTCTTCTTCCTTTTTTTCTCCTCCCTCCCTTTCTTTCTTTCTTTCTTTCTTTCTTTCTTTCTTTCTTTCTTTCTCTTTTCTTTTCTTTTCTTTCTCTTCTTCCTCCCTCCCTCCCTCTCTTTCTTTCTTTCTTTCTTTCTTTCTTTCCTTTCTTTTCTTTTCTTTCTTTCTTTCTTTCTCTTCTAATCTTAACCAATGTCTTCGACAAGCCTTTGTCTTTCAAGGTCATTGAGTCTTTCAGAGGCCCCACCAAGCCTTTTTGACTGCACCAATTTCCTTTGAAGACCTTCTCCCTTGCGATTGTGACATTCGTCTCATCACCACCAGGTCATATATTTTCTTGGGTTGGGATGGCCGGTTCTTCTTGTTTGACACCCATCTGTGGACACCCCTTGGGTAACATTACTTATACCGATGATGTAAGGCTTGGCCTTGGTTTATGAGTCTTCCCTGGTGATAACCATCTTCCAGGATCCTCCTTTGTGTGCCTGGCTTCTGATTTCCAGGAGAGATATTCAATTAAAGCTTGCCAAGCTACTTCACCTGCATTGTGAATTTCATCACCTTTTACCTTGTCCAGGAGAACTACTTGTTCCCGCATAGAGAAAAAGAAACAAATGTGATCCATCCATGACGGGACGAGGCGACATTGGACTTACATTGATCACAGCAAGAAGCAACGGGTGGAAACTAATCAAGGAGAGAAGCAACCTAGAACTAAGGAGAAACTTCCTGACAGTGAGAACAATTAACCAGTGGAACAACCTGCCTCCAGAAGCTGTGAATGCTCCAACACTGCAGGTTTTTAAGAAGAGACTGGACAGCCATTTGTCTGAAATGGTACAGGGTTTCCTGCCTGAGCAGGGGGTTGGACTAGATGACCTCCAAGGTCCCTTCCAACTTTACTATTATTATTATTATTACATGTAAAAAAGGATGTTGAGACTCTGGAAAGCACAGAGAAGAGCAACAAAGATGATTAGGGGACTGGAGGCTAAAACATATAAGGAACTGTTGCTGGAATTGGGGATGTCTAGTTTAACGAAGAGAAGGACGAGGGGGGACAGGATAGCAGCGTTCCAGTATCTCAGGGACTGCCCCAAAGAAGAGGGAGTCAAGCTATTCTCCAAAGCGCCTGAAGGCAGGACAAGAAGCAACAGATGGAAACTCATCAAGCAACCTAGAATTAAGGAGAAACTTCCTGACAGTGAGAACAATTAACCAGTGGAACAGCTTGCCACCAGAGGTTGTGGGTACTCCAACACTGGAGGCTTTTAAGAAGAGACTGGACAGCCACTTGTCTGAAATGATATAGGATCTCCTGCTTGAGCAGGGGGGTGGACTAGAAGACCTCCAAGGTCCCTCCCCATTCTATTATTCTATTATTCCAAGGGAGGGGGGAGGGAGGGAGGGAGGAAACTAATCAAGGAAAGAAGCAACCTGGAATTAAGGAGAAATTTCTAACAGTAAGGACAATTAATCAGTAGAACGACTTGCCTCCAGAAGTTGTGAACACTCCAGCATTGGAGGTTTTTAAGCAGAGATTGGACAACCATCTGTCTGAAAGAGTATAGGGTTACCTCCCTGAGCAGGGGGGTTGGACTAGATGACCTCCAAGGTCCCTTCCGAATCTGTTATTCTGCATTCCACTAGCCGATAACCTGAGACGCAATGTCCCTTTCTACCTTTTCTCCTTTGGTTTCACAGCTCCCGAAAGTCCTTCCTGATGGTCTTGGAGAGGTTGAGAACAGGGAGTCTTCCAACCTGGCCCTTTGATGACTTGTGGACTTCAACTCCCAGAATTCCTCAGCCAGGCATGCTGGCTGAGGAATTCTGGGAGTTGAAGTGCACAAGTCATCAAAGGGCCAAGTTGGAAGACCCCTATCTTAAAGCCTCCTGGCTGAGGAATTCTGGGAGTTGAAGTCCACAAGTCATCAAAGGGCTGAGTTGGAAGACCCCTGTCTTAAAGCCTCCTGGCTGAGGAATTCTGGGAGTTGAAGTCCACAAGTCCTAAAAGGGCCAAGTTGGAAGACCCCTGTCTTAAAGCATCTTGGCTGAGGAATTCTGGGAGTTGAAGTCTACAAGTCATCAAAGGGCCAAGTTGGAAGACCCCTGTCTTAAAGCATCCTGACTGAGGAATTCTTGGAGTTGAAGTCCACAAAGCACAAAGGACCAAGTTGGAAGGCCCCTGTCTTAAAGCATCCTGACTGAGGAATTCTGGGAGTTGAAGTCCACCAGTCATCAAAGGGCCGAGTTGGAAGACCCCTGTCTTAAAGCATCCTGACTGAGGAATTCTGGGAGTTGAAGTCCACAAAGCACAAAGGACCAAGTTGGAAGGCCCCTGTCTTAAAGCATCCTGACTGAGGAATTCTGGGAGTTGAAGTCCACAAAGCACAAAGGACCAAGTTGGAAGGCCCCTGTCTTAAAGCCTCCTGACTGAGGAATTCTGGGAGTTGAAGTCCACCAGTCATCAAAGGGCCGAGTTGGAAGACCCCTGTCTTAAAGCATCCTGACTGAGGAATTCTGGGAGTTGAAGTCCACAAAGCACAAAGGACCAAGTTGGAAGGCCCCTGTCTTAAAGCATCCTGACTGAGGAATTCTGGGAGTTGAAGTCCACAAAGCACAAAGGACCAAGTTGGAAGGCCCCTGTCTTAAAGCCTCCTGACTGAGGAATTCTGGGAATTGAAGTCCACCAGTCATCAAAGGGCCGAGTTGGAAGACCCCTGTCTT